TACAGGGTCTGCTGGCACGGGTGCTTGCAGCCTTGCAACTGGCACAAACACTGTAGCCAGCCCGTGGCCCTTTAAGGGCTCCGGGGCCGGGAGGGGGGCCATAGAGTTTCCCTGGTGTTGGCCAGAGTGGCCACCAGGGCAAGCTGGGAAGGGCTAGCCTCCCACTAGTTCGAACTAAAGGGCTACACAGCCCTTAGTTGAAACTAGGCTTAATCCTCGTAAAATGAAGTTTACCTAGTTCGAACTAAGCGCTCCGTTAGTTCGAATTAAGTTCGAACTAACGGAGCGCTAGTGTAGCGCCTAGGAAAGTTAGTTCGAACTAACGTCTGTTAGTTCGAACTAACTTTGTAGTGTAGACATACCCTCACTGAGGGTGAGTGTAACCTGAGCCTCATTGAGAGGTGCAACTAGGAGACATTAGGTGACACCTTTTGGCCTGGAAGCTGGACAGAGGAGGAGGCAAGGCTGCTTGCAGGGCTGGGACCGGTTGCATAGTGTGAGAGTTTTCTTGGCTGGCTTAGGATGCAGGGAGAGGGCCCTGGCTCTAGGCCCCTCTCTCCCAAGGATGGATTGTACTGGCTGCTCCTTGTTCCTGTGTTAACTTCAAGTCTGTGCTATGCTGTAACCCTTTGAACGAATAAACCTTCTGTTCTATTTGCTGGATAAGAGTCCCATCTGACTGCAGATGGGGGTGCAGGACCCAAAGACTCCTCCCCCCTCAGTGACGGGGGTTAGCTGAAGCTGGAGAGATGACAGGACTGGCCAGCATGGAGGGCTGAAGAGCCTGATTAAGAATAGGGTGACCTAACAGGAGGTCACCACCTAAGCAACCAAATGGTTTGAGCAAAATCTGATTTTCCCCCAAATCAACCAGCTCCAGTCCACTGACACCTAAAAGATTCCCTGAACATCTGGAGTCAGCCAGACATGGCTTTGAAAAGTTAGACAGACAGCTTTCCCTGCCTTAAAATGCTGAGAGGCATCCGACCAGGAGGCTGCTGAACGCTAGCAGTAGAATGGCAAGGATGGCAAACCTGTTATAGTCCCGGGCAACCAGGAGCAAATTCTCACGGAGGTTTCGCAGATCTTCCTTCCTGTCATAAACTTCCACTACATAGTGGGGGATCTCAAAAAGCAGCCTTTCCCAGTAATGGATTTCCACAAATAATTTCAGCAAATCCCTGCAAAAGGAAGCAACAGGAAAGGCCTGTCACACTCGACACCCACCTCCTGCCGCCCCAGCAGGGGCAGCCCTAGACTAGCTGCTAGCAACTGGCGCCCTAGGCAAACCATGCAATCGGCGCCCCCATCTCCAAGCCCCTCAATGATATTGAGCCATCATTTGGCGCCCCATTTAACTTGGCACCCTAGGCAACTGCCTAGTTCGCCTACATGGACGGGCTGCCCCTGTGTCCCAAAAACTGGTCTGCCCAGGAGATAGTGGCAGACCAGTCCCACTTACTTGTCAAAATTAATGTCCAACATGCCACTCTTCTCAGTGCTGAGGATAAGGAGGGGAGTGTCCAAGCGTTTAAGGCTGTCTTTGTCCAGAGTCTGAGTCCATTCCTGGAATGTTTTCCTCTCAATCTCATCCATGGCCTGGATCAGCAGCTGATAAGCCTGAAAGCTCTCTTCCCCTGTCCCAATATGGGGCAGGAAGTGAGCATTGGAAAGACACTGCAAGGCAGATGGAAAGCTTCAACCAGTGTTTATACTTCCACTGTGGAGAACGGGGAGCAACATTTTGCATAGGAGGAGCAGAAATCATTAGCTAGGAAGAGGCTATTGAGGGCAGATATTGCACCTCATTCCTGACTCTCAGCCTTACTCCTCTCCCTGCTATTCCAGTCCTAAAATCCACGCAGCTCAACCCTGACTCACAGTCCCACTTTCAACCCCCATACACACCACTATCGCAGCCCTGGACTCCCCTCGCCCATCTCTGGGGTCCCAGCTCACAGTCCCCTGCTGTCCAGACCTTCACTCTCCAAACGCACCTAGGTGATTAAGTGAAATCCAAAGATAAAATTCTCACTGGACAGTCAGCTCTTTGGGTACGTCTACACTACAGCGCTAGTTCGAACTAACTTAGTTCGAATTAGTTAATTCGAACTAAGCTAGTTCGAACTAACGCATCTAGAACTAAAAACTAGTTCGAACTAGCGTTTTGCTAGTTCGAACTAGTAAGTCCACATTGAGTGGACTCTGAACAGGGCTTAAGGATGGCCGGAAGCAGTGCCGGCAGGGCATAAAAGGAGGACTTAGAGCATGGAGATACTGTCTCAGGCTAGCCGAGGGCTGCGCTTAAAGGGTCCCGACCCCCACCCCGGACACACAGTTCTAAGGGGTGCCCCGCTTGCAAAGAAGTTCTGGCTTGGAGTGCCCTGAGTGCCCACACTGGGCACATCACACCACTCGGCCATCAGCCCGGCTGCACTTGCCGCAGGCTGCCATCTGGGGAGAGGGAGTAATTGGGGGGCTGCAGGAGAGCTTCCACCCCCAGAAGCCCGCAGAGCCAGCCCAGTCCTCCCCATCGGGGGCTCGTACCCCATTCCTCCCTCACCTCCTTCCACTTACCCTTCCCTAGCCCCCCTTCTTATTGATGTACAAAATAAAGATAACGTTTCTTCCAACATTGACTCTGTCTTTATTGAAAAAAACTGGGGGAGACTGGGAAAAGGAGGTGGGAGAGGGGAAGAGAAAGGCTGGGAGAGGGGAGGGCAACTAACATGATCAGGGGTTGGGAACAGGTCCCAGATGAAGAGAGGCTACAGAGACTGGGACTGTTCAGCTTAGAAAAGAGGAGACGGAGGGGGGACAGGATAGAGGTCTCTAAAAGCAGGGGTTGGGTGGAGAGGGTGCATTCAGAAAAGTTCTTCATGAGTTCCCATAAAGAAGGACTAGAGGACACCAAAGGAAAGGAATGGGTAGCAGGCTTGAAACTAGTAAGAGAAAGTTGTTCTTGACAAAGCAAATAGTTAACCTGTGGAACTCCTTGCTGCAGGAGGCTGTGAAGGCTACAACTAGAACAGAGTTTAAAGGGAAGTGAGATCAAGTCATGGAGGTTGGGTCCATGGAGTCCTATTAGCCAGAGGGTAGGAGTGGTGTCCCTGCCCAAAGTTTGTGGAAGGCTGGAGAGGGATGGCACGAGACAAATGGCTTGATCACTGTCTTCGGTCCATCCCCTCCAGGGTCCCTAGGGTTGGCCGCTGTTGGCAGACAGGCTACTGGGCTAGATGGACCTTTGGTCTGACCCAGTACGGCCATTGTAAGCTCAGGGCTCAGGGTCGGGGGTCTCAGTGGACCCCCTTGATTTTCATGCACACCTGGTCCTGGGTGGCCAGGCTGGCAGCTCTCCTGCCCTAGACGGCCACTTTCCTGTGCCTAGTGCAGAGATCGTGGACAAGGTCCATTATGTCTGCACTAGCCCAGGAAGGTGCCCACTTCTTGCGGTCCTGTGGCTCTGTGCCGTGCCAGGTGCAGGGTCTGCTAGCTGGGTGCTGGCAGGCTTGCACCTGGCACGGGCACCGTAGCCAGCCCGTGCCCCTTTAAGGGGTCCGGGGCCGGGAGGGGGGCATAGAGTTTCCCTGGTGTTGGCCAGAGTGGCCACCAGGGAAACCTGGGAAGCCTTAGCCTCCCACTAGTTCGAACTAAAGGGCTACACAGCCCTTAGTTCGAACTAGCTAGTTCGAACTAGGCGTTAGTCCTCGTAAAATGAGGTTTACCTAGTTCGAACTAAGCGCTCCGCTAGTTCGATTCAAATTCGAACTAGCGGAGCGCTAGTGTAGCGCCTATTAAAGTTAGTTCGAACTAACGTCCGTTAGTTCGAACTAACTTTGTAGTGTAGACATACCCTTTCAGACTAGCATGATAAGGAAACCAACTCACGCACATATGGAGCCACTCATTCAAAGCAATAAAATAAATGGCGGTAGGGCAACCAAAAGCAATTGAAGAGTGAATGTTCTGAAGTCTAGGGCCCTAGAACACTGCGCTGCTGGAGAGGGTTTCTTGCAGAGGAAACAAAAAATGAGAATTGTGACCTCTTATGGTCAATAAAGTTTCCATGGTGCCACCCCAAGAAAACACGATAACTTCCCAGTTGAGTTCTTCTTTCTCATGCTCCCTGCTCACCCCCACTCACCCTGCTTGTTCCTCTCTACATCACTGAACTCTCAAGAGGCAACAAAAGGAACTGAGGAAGGAGAGGGCTGCATGAGCCCCAAAAAAGCAGCTACAGCCAGCTATACTCACTAGGGCCGTGGTCACCAACCCGTCAATCGTGATCGACTAGTCGATTGTGAGACTTCGACCAGTCGATCGCGAGGCTTTCGGGCATCCCCACCCCCCATTTTCCCCCAACCCCGAGAAGCCTGGCTTCCCGCGGGGTGGACGGAAGTCCTGGGTGAAGCCCACGTCACTTCCGAGGGCTCCAGAAGTGTGCAGGCTGCTCCCCTCCCACAGCTCTGTCACGTGTTGGGGGAGGGGGCGTCGGATCCAGAAGAGGAGTCCAGCAGCTTCCCTGCGAGGAGCGAGCGGGAGCGGGAGCGGGGGTCAGCCCCAGGGTTTGGCCCGGGGAGGCTCCTGCGGGGGTTTGGCCCCGGGGAATGCACCCGCGGGGGTTTGGCCCCGTCGCAGGAGGGAAGAGAGGAGGCTGGCTTGGCCAGGCCCCACCGCGGGAGGGGGGTTTGGCCCCAGGGCAGGC